TATCATTTAGTTATTAAAAATAGGTTGAATTTCTAAATAGCCCCCTTTTACAACTAGAAACAGACATTTTTTGAGACAGTAGTTATTAACATGTAGAAAAACTAAAAAGGCTGTAAGTGGCCATGACTTAAATTCATAATTGCAACAGCAGTGGCTAACGTACTGAGCCCTTACTCTGTGCTAGCACTGTATACCTATTGACTTTTTTAAACCTCACCACCATCCTGGGAGTGAGTAATATTGCTAGCTCCATTTTACTCGCGAGGAAACTAATAGGCAGAGGGAGAAAGTTACAAAAGAAGGTTGGAGTTGCTCTGGAACACCAAGCCAGCAAATGGAAAAGCCAGCATCTGAACTTAGCTTTTCCAACAAGGGGTGACTGCAGCCCGAGAGAAGCTTTAAAATCCAGACAAAGCAAGGAGGGATCAGCGAGTGAGAGAGGGGCCTTCTGCGCACCAGGCACTTCACGTCCTGACTCACTTATGTCGTAACAGTCTTTTAAGGCAGAAACTAGTATTTCATTAAAAAAATTAACTCCTTTAAAGTGATTTTTCAGCTTGAATGTCAAATTACATACCGATATAGATCTGATTCAAGTAAAGTGAGCTGCCGAGCAATTTCTATTGGGTGTAAGGTGAGCAGGTCAAAAGTCTCTATGTGCCCAGGTCTGCTTATATGCCATTCGACTGTGGGAGGTGAACTCTGAAATGTAATATTATGACCTGGTCCACTGTCTCTTGCCATTTTTTTCCTTTGGATTATTTTAGTGATGGATTCAACCCATTTTCTCATTGCTTTACCTGAAATACATTTTAGGTAATGAAATACATTTTAAATAACATTTAAATACTTTTTACTCAACATTTTATTTTTTAAAATAGTATAAAATCATACAAATGATACCTGAATGTATCTTTACTATAAAAAGTTCAAATGATCAAAATTTAAAAAATGGAAGTTCCCCTTTACCATTTCCCTGTTCCCTACACCAGTCTCATTTTTCCTCACCTGGGTAACCACTGTTATAACCTGGTTTATATTCTTCTATTTCCTTTTAAAATGAAATTAGAAAGTAATTTATTTGTAGAGATTTGTTTACTTCTATTGTTCTGAACTTCTGTTCAAAATATTTTATAATCTTCAAAAAAAAAGATTTATCTTACACAGATGAGACTTCCAAGGACAGACTATACACATCCACTGTTCCTCTCATCAACACTGCACTTTGTAAACCAAACAGCGCCGGAGGACCGAGTCCTCCATTTAACTATCAGTTTCTGAGGCAGCTCTGTTTCGTACTATGCATGAAAATGTGGGTGCTGGACACTACTCTGATCCTCATTTAGCCTGTACCATGGAAATGTAGACAAGTTTATATAAGACAGTCTTATACCTATACAATCACAGCATCTTTAAAACTAGAAGAGAAACTTGGGAGATCATTTAACCTAGCTCCACATGTTACTGATGAGGATGAATGAAAGTAACTTTGTCCAAAGTCATGGCTGATGACTGGCAGTGCTGGGAATAAAACTCCCATTTCCCAGCAATCCCAGCGCTCCATTCCCCGTGCTCTGCTGCCTCTCTGATGTATGCCCTGTTCACCTGTGGCTCAGGGACTCCGTCAGCGGGGTTGTGATGGCACAGCAGTCCCTACCTGTCCTTTGTACACCCACTGTCAGATAAGTGTAAAGACAATACACTTATCTATCTAGGAGACTTTTCCTATCCAATTCCAAAATAACCAACCAGCTGATTTACTAAACGAAAATACATTGGTTCAATAGGGTGATGACTGAGCAATTTGTAGATCAAAAACGTTGTTTGATGAAAATTTTTTAATTTTTCAAATTGCTATGCTGGCACTACCACATACACCTCTTAACAGTGGGCTGTAAGGACAGCAATTGACACTCACCACATAGATATTTTTATTACACATAAAACTAGGCACTTACAAAAACCATACCTCTTACTGTTCCAATAAACTCCTCCATTCGCCGCAAAAGATCTGTATCTCTTTCAAAGTCATAGAAGTGGTGCTCTACCCAGTGCCGGCAGACATTCAATACTCTGTGGCATTCACACAGAAGAATAATTGAATTACAAGGGAACTCGGGGATAAACGCTTATCACAATGAATGGTATAAATGAAAACAGTAACTGTCACTAAATTAAATAATCTTATAAAATGCTTACCACTTTCAAAATTCCATGTTAATTAAGACTTATACAATAACTTTTGACAATTGCTTGTCACTCATTTTACTTACTACCTCCTGCTGGCTTTGTTTCAACTCTGAAACAAAAGTTTGATAAAGGCTTATTTACTTCAGTTATTTGTTAGCACTTACCGCAGTTGTACAGGCTGTATATATTCTTTTCTAAACCTTTTTAGCTCTGCACTCAAGGGTTGATCTCCATTCTCTATAGCTATGCGATCAGCTTCTGTTGGCTCAGGCTCTGGAATTTCAAACCTAACAGAAAGCAGAATAAACTAATGAAAATATTAATTGCATCAAATTATACAATTAGGAAGCTACAAACTGTTTTACTAGTCAGCACAATCAAGAGAGCACTGTAAAAAATTACTAAGGACAGACACATCAGTGAAAACAAGGCTTCTATAATGTAAAGGTTAATGGTATTACAGATAAACCTAACTAGAAACACAAGAAGGAATACCAGCAAAGTCTAAAAAGAAATGTAATTATAAAGTTATTGAACTGATGTTCCTTTTTGGCTTGTGTAATTACTGTAAATCAACTAACATAATACTTTTTAAGGGTAAAGCTTGAAAAGTTGACTGCTCTTTTGAATGAAACACTTTTCTTGATTATAGTGTTTCTTGGGTGAAACACTTTTCCTGATTATTTGTTCGCTGATAAGCTCTATTTTCCTCAACTTGTGGCATATTTGAAAAATTCTGTTTAGGACATTTAAATCATCAAAATTTGAATTTCTTGAGTCTAAATTATGCATTTTATATAGATCTTTAGTTAGATTAACTTATAAATTTGAAGCTTCACATACTGATATTCCATGTAAAAAAGAATGTCTATTTTTGTTTTTAAATAATCAAAGCTAACAAAATGATCTTCTAAGAGATTTTATTTCTTAAAACAGTGTTCATTAACTACAATTTAAAGCTCATTTAATATATTTCCAAGAATATAAGATCTTAGCTTAATCTCTAAAAAAAAGGATTTAAACATTTAAAATTAACAGACCTTTCTATTATAAGACTCAGTAGTTCTTGAGGTTTACAAAAGGATCTGTATGTTGTAAGAAATGTCCGAACAAAATTGGGATCTAAGAAGAAAAGGAAAAATCTTATTAAAATCTTTGATTCAGAATGATTAAAATAGTATTTACATTTTCAAAAGAGATCAAATAGTCAACTTTAAAAGTCCCAGAATATTTTAACCACATAGAATGCTTTGGATTTTATAATGAACTGTTAGACTTAGTGCCTCTTAAATTAGTGGCAAAACTAAGGATACTATAATTTTAGATTTATTTATTTACTTACTTTTAGGGAGAGAAACATCAATGTGCAAGAGCTACATCAATTGGTTGCTTCTTGCACACCAGCTGGGGACCTCACCCACACACAACCCACGCATGTGCCTTGACTGGAATCGAACCAGCGAGCTTTCAGTTTGCAGGGTGGTGCTCAATCCACTGAGCCACACCAGCCATGGCTGGATACTAAAATTTTATGTCAACCTATTTTCTTGACCTCTGCACAACTCTGACTAGCTGATGTCATCACTGGCCTCAGGGGCACTAAGGGAAGGAAGGGAAAGGCCAAGCATGGAAGGAAGCTCCCCACCTCCTACCTGGATCTCAGAGGACCACCAGGTGGTCTATCTCCTTCATAAAGAGAAAGGCCACAGCATAATCCATTACCTTTCCTGACATCCAGACTAGTTTATTTAGGATCAGTTATCTAGATTGCTTTCAATCATGTTAACAGAACATACAACTAGAAATTAGACCTTATAATTTTGTAGATAAAGTTAAATACAGTTTCTAAATTATTTTATTTGCTAAAGGTTTAAAAAAATACTACTAAAAGATGCTTACAAATACATATGAGTTATTAAAACTATTAAATGTGCCAGAATATGCTGATTTGGTTCTATTCACAACTTTCAATTCTTTTTATTTTGTCAAGTCTTTTATATGACAACATTGAGAGTTGTCATAAGAGCAGGAGTCTCCAACCCCTTCCAGCAGAGGACGTACTTGTCATTCAAATCTCCCTGCAGTGAACCAGGTGGTAGACTGAGTGCGACCACTCCCCCAGGCCTGGCCTACTACAGTCTCACCCTAACAGTATTCCACAATGGGGGGCGGGGAGGGGGGTGGAACTTCTAGAACACAAATGTTATCAAGCTCCACCTTTAGTTTTGAGTTGTTACAGAGGAGGAGGGAAAGAGATCATTAACTTTAGTTTTACTTGGAGAATCCTTTTCCTATCTCACATTACAGTCTAGTATGCTCTAATTTAATGATAAATTCATTCAGAGTAGCAAGTACCTTTATTTTTGTTAGGCTATATACACTGTGGACCCTTTATAAGAAGTACAGTGTCTTTTATTACCATAGAATTTAGCAAGAATCAGAATTAATTTGCTTGGACAATGTTGTTATGCTGATTCTGTCTGATTAAGAACTACCCTAAATTTAGCCTTATAATAAAATAATAATACATTAACTTCCCCCAATAGCTGATTTTTGGATTTATCATAAAACAGAAATCTACTTCCAATCAATTGGTATATGTAGTCATGGAGGTAATGAATTGATTTAAATATCAGACAGCCTTGATTTTAAGATTATACTTTTTTAAGTTAAAGAAAAGTTTAATAACAAAACTACATTGGTTTTAATACCCATCTTCTTTCACTAGAGTGGATTACTGATAAAAGTCATATAAACACATACAACCCTTTAGTAATTTCCTCTGTTCGTATTTTATTGTTTGTCTTCAGTTACAGAGTTCCTCAAACGTTAAAGACTAATGTCTCAACCAGAAGAAAAGATTTTAAAACAGAAGGCTGTACAAGATTTTAAAACTGAGATTTATATCGATTTCATCACAGTCCTCCCTTTCAAGAATCTTCTTCCTGTTCTGCAAATCTATTTGTAAGGTGAGGCTACTCAAAACATCACGTGTTTAGGAAGCAGAAGCAGTGGCCACTGTAGAGATGCTGAGCTGTCACTGTTGGAGAGAGCTCCCAGACCTTTAGTGCAAAGTGCTCCAAGTATCCCTGAGTTCTATTCCAAATTTAGGGTGACCTGTCCTTTTTTTTTTTTTAAAGAAAAATTTACTTCAGTCTAAAATTCTAAAACTGACATCCAGATCCATTTAAGTCAGGATAAAAAGTTGTGGGATATTAAAGGTACTTTTAAGTTGAAAAACAGAATAAAGGTTCTTAATGAATTTAAAAATATTTTTTAAAACAGGCTATTTTTAGAGGTATACTATTTTAAAATAGTCTTTTCATCTTAAACCAAACTTCTGGCCATTTCAGTACACTAGTAACTGATAACAATGCTGAGAAATCATGATGTGCCTCAGTGCCACGTCAGTCAGAGGGCGTCACATCAGCTCCTGAAGTCTGTTCTGTAAGGTTCGCAAACAGCATTCTCATAATGTGCTCCATTCGGTTTCTGTGAAGTGAGCAGGGCCAGTGGCATTTTTCCTTTCACATATGAGAGAAGACAGATTTGTCTAGGGTCACACAAGTGAGTGAAGAGATGGTGCCATAATCTAGATTGTGTAATTCCTGATTTGGTGCTTTTTCCCTACTTTTTCACATTACCTCCCTGGATTAAAGGATCCCTTAAGATTTCCAAGGCTGTGAGATTTAAATATAAAGAATGAATCCATAAATTATATAATCTCTTCAGAAATTTACACAAATGATTAATGCGGAATGTAGCTATAAACTGCTAATCTTGGATAAAAGCAGCAGAAAGTCATGGAAACATCAGTCTAATTGTGATTCTGTAATTCTTGTTAAGTCTTCTTCCAGATTTTAGGAAGTAGCAGCTGTACCTTCCTGTACACTATTCAGAAGAGGAGTTTCTGAAGCTGGCGGTGAAATAAACACTCCCACAATCATCAGTTGTACAAGTTCTAAAGTGATTCAAGTTTGAAGTTGTTTTTAGTTTGATTAGAAGTAAGAGTAGTCTTGCCAAAAAGAAAAAAAAAACCCAGAAGCTAAAAATAAACCAAGAAAATTTGGCAAAAGTTTAAGCACTTAAAAAAAAATCTCTTAAAAGCTGCATATTTCCCAGGCTTATATTAATTTAGACTCTATTTTTAGTCTAACACAGTGAAAAACTGCTAATGAATGAAAAACTTATGAGAGGACATAACATCTGCACATTTGAAATTTTGTACAAAAAAGGGTCCATATTCCAGAAGCTATTTTTATATCTGTTGACTTCTCCATTCAGTGATTTTAACATGTATCATGTCCCACTACACTGGAGACCTTTATCTAATTGATGATATAAAAAACTAGGATAATTTGACATTTTAAAAAAAGATTTTATTTATTTATTTTTAGAAAGGGGAAAGGAGGGAGAAAGGGAGAGAAACATGGACGTGTCGTTGCCTCTCATGAGCCCCCTCCTGGAGACCTGGCCAGCAACCCAGGCATGTGCAATGACTAGGAACTGAACCTGCGACCCTTTGGTTTGTAGGCTGGCACTCAACCCACTGAGCCACACCAGCCAGGGCTGATAATTTGATATTTTAACAATACTTATTAATAAAGACAGATTATACAATTTTGTAAGAAAATTAAGGACCACCTTATATTTATCAGGCAATGATAAAAATCAAGTTTTATATTGCCTCTGTTGCTTGTGAGTAGCAGTTATCTACCTATATTATAAAATGATATTTCAGACAGATGGAAGGCAAATGCATAAAAATACAAAAGCCAGGCTGGTTTGGTTTTAAAATATAAACACAAACAAATACTTGTGTAGAAAATGAAAATCAACTATTTCAAGATTCTAATCTTTCCATTTATCATTTGCTTGCAGATGTAATTCTATAAACTACTTTTTTTTGTTTTTTTTTAAAGATTTTATTTATTTTATTTTTAGAGAGGGAAGGGAGGGAGAAAGAGAGAGAGAGAGAGAAACATCAATGTGCGGTTGCTGGGGGCCATGGGCTGCAACCCAGGTATGTGCCCTGACTGGGAATTGAACCTTCAATGCTTTGGTTCGCAGCCCGTGCTCAATCCACTGAGCTATGCCAGCCAGGGCCAAACTACTTTTTTTTAAATCCTCCCCCGAGGACACGCTTATTGATATTAGAGAGAGGGGAAGGGAGAGAGCAACAGGAGAGAGATATTGATGTGAAAGAGAGGCATTGATTTAATGGTAGGTGCCAGACTGGGACAAAACCAGTCACCCAGGCATGTGTCCTGACCAGGAACCAAACCCACGACCTTTTGGTTTGTGGTGTGAAACTTAAACAACTGAGTCACACCAGCCAGGCCTCAAACCTCTTTCTCAAAGTAACCACTAATGGATTTCAGTATTAGCAATGACAAACACTTCCTCTGTGGTTTTTCTCTTCTGACTCCCATTCTTCTACTAAGATTTCCATCACGTTAACTAGCAGCTCAGCATCCCTCTCTATATATACCCATATTTTGCTGTGTATAATGCGTACTTTTTCCCCCAAATTTTTGAGGGAAAAATAAAAAATGTGCATTATACATGGGTAGTACCTGAAATACCTTGTATCTGTTCTTGTGTTTTGTAATTATTGTTACATAAAATTTGTACCATATGTTCAAAAATAAATGCTAAAATTCCTTTATAATACAAAAAACAAGTATCTAAATATAAATAAATAAAAACTGAGTTAAAAAATTAAAACAAAGATTGTTTTCCTGAAACTCTGGGCCAAAAATGTGGGTATGCAATATACGCGGGAGCACATTACGCACAGCAAAGTACGCTAAATACCCGCCGGCGGCCATCAGGTCCCTGCTCTAGGCCCAGATCATTTCAAACATGAATTGTAGTTACTATTTTCTGCTGGTTTTCTAGCAGGCTGTCCCCCTCGCTCTAAAACTGTTCTTTGATATTTTATTGCACACTTCTTCAAAACCCAAGGAATTCAGAATACACTTACATAGTGTTCAGAATACAGCATTCTATATTTGAGATGATAATTTCAGTATTTTTCCTTATATGCTTATTTTGATCAACACTTGATATTTTATTTGGCAAGATCAATGATATTTATGAGATATTTATTACCTAGAGTTATTTATGTAAAGAATACCCCTCCCCAGTCACCATAGTGAAACACGGTTCATCAGGATGTCTGTTTACGTGATAATTCTCCCTTTAATACAGCCATTTAAAAAGTTACAAGAAACAATAAGCTCCTCAGCAAGGATTTATAAACAATCAACTCTTGAATTCCTTAAAAAAGGAAACAGACAGCTATGCTGACGCACAAACACTTTAAAAAAAAATCAGTGTTTAAAAATAGAATAGCACTGCCCTATAGATCAAAAACCATTCAAAAGATTTTCTTAAAGTTAAAACACCCAAACTCAGCTTATACAGGACACAAACTCAAAAGAAATCTGATGCAGGTTTTTGAGGATTTTCTGAGGGCATAAAATAGCAGTAAGTACTTTAAAGAAAAATATAAACTGACTTAAGTTTTGTTCAGTATCATTTTCCATAAAAGAGAAATTCACCATGCTGGGAAACATCTTTTCCCCACACTTCAATGTGAAAAGCTCTTATTTCCACATAATGTCAGTTCTGAATTATTACACCTACCTACCTCAAGGTCACCTCATTTCTCAAAAAGAAAACATCAGACCAGACATACCATCACTAAACATTTCTTTAAGCATGTTGTTTTAACTCTCAATACTAATTTGTACTTTATTTCCTATAATTGTAACCAAAGTCAAATTCCTACTCTAATCTCCTTTTTTATGCATATTGCTTTGTGCCTTCTTACTGTTTAAGTAAAGCAAGTCTCTTCGTATCTCTGCCAGATTCAGAATGATCCATCTGAACAGAAAATTTTCCTCCTAGCATTTTGGGATGAATTCCAATTTTCTGATGTAGTTAGTGAATTATTATATATACAGAAACACTGGGTCTGCGAGACAAGCTATAAATTAGATTCCCCACAAAGCCCTGCTACAGTCTTTAAAGCAAGTAAGCACTTCCTAGTTCATCTATATTTAATTCTTTCTGCCAGAAAGCTTTCCTTCACAGAGCAAACAGCAATAGACTAATGACTGGGTTTTGTTAAAAACTAAACTTAGGAGGATGAGTATGTAACTATGTAACATATTTGCATTAAAATGGAAAGGTTATAATTAGAATTTATTAACTATTTCAATAAGAAAAAAATTACTCTAACTGTATCTCCATAGTAGACTTGTCTTCCCCAAAAGTGAACAAACTACTTATATTACTGGCAATTCAAACCAAGCAAGTAAGTCTCTTTATTTTTATTATTCGATACACATAATAAAAATTATATTCTAATGAAGAGAATTCACCTTGTGTGAGTCAGTATAATATGGTAGAAAGTATATTCTGTTAAAAAGTCAAGAGGCCTATAGTCTAGTCTTCACTCTGCAGTTACTTGATGATATGATTTCTGGAGCCGTGGGTTTTGTCTATAAAGTGGGGAACTGGTCACCTCATTCAACACTAGAGAGCTATAGCTTTATTTCACATATTATTGCTAAAATGCACAAGGGATCAAGTTTGCAGGAGACACAGTGAAGCCTGAATTAAGTAATGTTAAACTAGTTTTTCTTCTGCCTGTTTTTTTTTTAAGATTTCATTTATTTTTAGAGAAAGTGGAAGGGAGGGAGAAGGAGAAACACTCATGTGTGAGAGAAACAATGTTGGGTTGCCTCTCCATGTGCCCCCCGAAGTGTGGACTGGGCTGCAACCCAGACATGTGCCCTGATGGGGAATCAAACCGGCGACCTTTAACTTTGCAGGATGATGCTCAACCAATTGAGCCACACGGCTCAGCGTTCTTCTGCTTTTTATGACAACGTGCAACCAACCTATGATCTAAAAAAATCTTAAAATAGTGCTTATTAGTTATTAAAATTTCTTATATTATAACCAATGTCTTTTATTATAATTCTATAACAATACAATGAAAATGTGCAAGTTAAATTTTAGCTTTTGTTTCAGTTTAAGCCACAACTTGCACTGTATGTTCTCCAATGAATACCTACCAACCAACTAACCAACCCTCTCCACCCCCAAAGAAAAGAAAGAAAAAGAACAGATTCATAGTTCTTAAAACAAATGGTGACTTGACCTGTTACAATTAAGGGTGTCCAACCCTGTGGCCTGGCCCAGGATGGCTATGATGCAGCCCAACACAAAATCATAAACTTACTTAAAACCTTTTTTTTTTTCTCTCATCAGTTTTCATTGTTTGTGTATTTAATGTGTGGACCAAGACAACTCTTTTTCTTCCAGTGTGACCTAGAGACGCCAAAAGGTTGGACACCCCATCATTGTAGTGAGAACTCAAGAGTCTATTTGAACTGACAAAGAAATAATAACTGCTTAAAAAAATGCTTTCATGTTTTACAAGTTTATAGATGGTCTATTAAAAAACACATTCTATTGCCAGTAATACATTGAGTAATATACCGTATTTTGCTGTGTATAATGCATGCTTTTCCCCCCACATTTTTTAGGGCAAATAAGGATGCAGATGATACAAGGGTAGTACTAAATTAATCATAAAAAATTAAAACGAAGGACTTTTTTCCCTAAAAGTTTGGGCCAAAAATGTGGGTGTGCATTGTACGTGGGAGCACATTATACATGGTAAAAAGTAGCACCTTATAGAGAGCCCAAACTAATCATCCTGATCTGTGTGTCCTATAAACCACAACTCACAAAGCTGCTTGAGGATTCTAGTTACACCAGTAATATGTCAATATTTATGATGTAAGTTAAAATAGTCAATGAAGTTTCAAAAAAGAAAAATGTCAAAAAACTTAGCCACACACTTTTA